CCCCCCCCCCCCCCCCCAGGAAAGGCAATCCAGCAACTATTTTGCAAGGTTCTCTGCTCTGAGTGAGGAAGAGCCTCCTTTGCACACGCAGGTGGAGCCGTGCGGGGAAGGAGAGGGACGGTGCTGCTGGAGAATTGGTTTTCTTGTGAGTCGGAGGCCTGGTCCTCACACTTGTCTGGGGCAAGCACCCACACCTCGGAAGGCTCTTTGCAGAGCTCTCTGAAACGCTTCCACACAGAACACTGCTACAAGCTCAGGGTCCTCTTGCTAGTGGAAAGCAGGAGCCGGAGACGTGTGCAGGCTGCCACGTCTCAGGAAGTGACAGCGCAGAAAATACTGTCCAGGAATTACATCCAAGTTTTTCCGTTAGAAAACGCGGTCCTCACAAGGACAGCCGGCCGCTGGTTTTGGTCTCTTCACTGCGAGCAGCAGCAGGCGCCGGAAAGTGAAGACAAGGTTGTGGCAGAAGATCGCGAGAATGAGAATGTTGTGTAACACAGTTCTTCCCTGTGACTTGGGAAAAGACCCCCATCGTTGGATAGCTGCTGGTTCAGGCACAGCTCAGTGCTAGTTTTTAAATATCTGTCCTTCTACGTCTATCCTCCCACAGCAGAGAAGTACAGGACGACATCTTACTTCACTCTAACATACATTTACTGCTATTTTGTGTACCTTGAACACCCATCACCTGCTGCTCCATCAAGCAGATGTCCACATTTCAGAAGTCAGCTGGTATATTGCCCAGCTCAGCATTCCCACTGTGCACCCCAAGCTTATCTAGAGACAGTCCACTGAAAACCTCCTGTAATGCCAGCAGCAGCCACCATTACCGAGCACTTCCTGTGTCCCAGGCACTGTGCTAAGCCACTGGCCTGTGGTAACTCAACCCTCCACATGCCTTAGGGCAGCGGTTCTCAACCTGTGGGTCGTGACCCCTTTGGCGGTCGAACGACCCTTTCACTGGGGTCGCCTAAGACCATCCTGCATATCAGATGTTTACATGATGATTCATAACAGTGGCAACATGACAGTTATGAAGTAGCAACGAAAATAATTTCATGGTTGGGTCACAACATGAGGAACTGTATTTAAAGGGCCAGAAGGTTGAGAACCACTGATAGGTGCTATTATTCCCGTGTGGAGGTGAGCACACCGGCGTGGAGAGGTGAATTCATTGGCCCAGGTCACACAGCAAGTGCAGAGCTCCGACTGGAATTCAGCCGCCCTCCAAGCTCACGCCTCAGCTTCCTTCCGGGTGGTGGATCCCTCGCCGCCTCCTAATTGGAGGATGTGTTCCTTGGGTCAAGGGCCGCCCATTTTGCTCTCTGTTCCCAGGCTGCTGGGACCTCAGTCACCCAGCAAGGGCTGAGCTGCTGCTCCGCCATTAGCTCTCTGTTCATCAGTTTCTCTTGACAGGTGTCATGAATGCATTTGTAAATACTTGCCTCTCTTTACCTACGAAGATAGGAGAGAAAAGTCCGTACGGGCTCTGCAGTCTTTTTCCCTATGTCTTTCCTCCCACAGGGAGACGAAGAATTTAGACCAAAGAGAAGCCGATAAAAAAAGGGCACACCGCACATTCATCCCACCTCCAGCCTTTTATGAGGAAACCCTGGAAAAGAAACATAAAGCCAACCAGGAGAAAGAGACCAAATTTCTTCTAAGGTTCGTTCGAAAAAAAGACCAGGGGAAAAGTAGAAATGTGAGCAATGTAAGAATTCTTTTCTTTTTTAAAAAAAATATATTTCATTGATTTTTTTCACAGAGAGGAAGGGAGAGGGATAGAGAGCCAGAAACATTGATGAGAGAGAGACATCGATCAGCTGCCTCCTGCACACCCCCTACTGGGGATGAGCCTGCAACCAAGGTACATGCCCTTGACTGGAATCGAACCCTTCAGTCTGCAGGCCGCAGCTCTATCCACTGAGCCAAACCGGTCAGGGCGTAAGAATTCTTAATAATGGAAAAGTACATCAAAGTTCTCTCACCCTTCTGTGTCCCTCAGTTCTCATTTTTAAAGTAGTCATGGCCGCAGAAAGAGTTGCCAGTGATTTTGTACTTCCTCCGTGTCAAGTGTTTGTTCTTCCTGAGATGCATGGGTCAGAGCTCTTTGGTTGCCAGGGCCAGGAAACCAGCTCAGACTAGCTTGAGCAGAAGGAAAATCTAGAGGCCGCAGTAACCAGGCAGCCCACCGGTAAGTTGGCTACAGGCACGTTGGTCCTAAGGGCTCAATGATATTTTCAGGATCGCTTAGCATAACACTATCCAGGTCCCTCCGTGCTGTCTCAAAGGGTAAGAGATCCTTCTTTTTTTACTGCTGCATAGTATTCTATGGTGTAAATGTACCACCACTTTTTTTATCCACTCCTCTACTGATGGGCACTTGGTGCTGTTTCCAAATCTTAGCTTCTAAATCTTAAAAAAAGATAATTGCGCCCTAGATGTTTTGGCTCAGTGGCTAGAGCAGGGGTGGGCAAAGTCCCGGGTTCGATTCCGGTCAAGGGTACGTACCTTGGTTACAGGCTCCTCCCCAGCCCGGGCCCTGGTCAGAGCTCATGCAGGAGGCAACCAACTGATGTGTTTCTCTCACATCAATGTTTTTCTCTGTCTTTCCCTCTCTCTTCCACTCTCCCTAAAAAATAAAAAGATAATTTATTTTTTAAATATATTTTTATTTATTTCAGTGAGGAAGGCAGAGGGAGAGAGAGATAGAAACATCAATAATGAGAGAGAAACATTGATTGGCTGCCTTCTACACACTCCACACACTGGGGATTGAGCCCAAAACCTGGGCATGTGCCTTGACCCGGAATCAAACAGTGCCCTCCAGGCTCATAGGTGGACACTCCACCACCGAGGCACACCAGCTGGGCTCCTTTGTTATCTTTTTATGTCCGTAGGATCTGTAGTGATGTCTCCTCTTTCATTTCTAAGATTAGTGATTTGTGTCCTTTCTTTTTTTTCTTCTTAGTTAGCAAGGCTTGAGGCTTATCAATTTTATTGATCTTTTCAAAGACCCAGCTTTTGGTTTTGTTGATTTTCCCTATTGATTTACTATTTTAAATTTTATTTATTTATGCTCTAATGTATTTGTTTTTAAATTTTTGAACAGTTGGGTTTATTTCAACAGCAAATGTGAAACTTAGGCTTTAGGCAAGAGTACTACAGTAATTATATCAAGAATAGATGATTTCATACACTGTGTGCTCTAACTTTTTTTATTCTTTTGTTTACTTTGGATTTAATTTTTTTGCTCTTATTTTTCTAGTTTGCTCTTATTTTCTAGTCAAAACTTAGATTGATTTTAGGTCTTCTTTGGCAATATCTATTATATAAAAAGCCTGTGGTCGTCACACCATCATGCCTTAATGACCAATCAGCAGGAGGCTGTATGCGTGGGTGGGCGGGGCTGCATGCACAGTGAGGCATGTGCAGGTGGGCAGGGACTTGACTCTGGAGGACTTAACAGGAGGTGTGAGCGGGTTTCTGGGTCCCGCCTCCCGCAGCAGTGGTGGCGGTGGCAGCCATGGGACTCTTTCTGGGTCCCTGAGCCATAGGACTCTGGGTCCTGGGTCTCACACAATTTCATGCGCTGGGCCCTTAGTATGTATATAATGCTATAAATTTCTCTCTAAGCACTGCTTTCAGCATCCCCCAAATTTTAATAAGTTGTATTTTCATGTTCACTTAGTTCAAAGTATTTTAAAGTTTCTGTTGAGATCTCTTCTTTGACCCACGTGTTACATAGAAGTACGTTATTTAGAACAGCGGTTGCCAACCTTTTGGACCTCACGGACCACCAGTGGTCCACGGACCACTGCTTGGCGACTGCTGATTTAGAAGCATGTTCTTTCTCTCTCTAGATCAGGCCCATGGCTTCCCCCCATCTCCTTCCCCCAGGCGTGTTTTCTTTGCCTTTCTTTTTCCTAAGCTCCAAGGACCCTTCTTTTGCCTCTGTAACTTATTTCCTGAGCCCACACAGCCCAGCTGGCTCACTTCTTCCAGGGCTCACTTCTAGCTCTGTGACTGTCTAAATCAGCGGTTCTCAACCTGTGGGTCGCGACCCCTTTGGCAGTCGAACGACCCTTTCTCTGGAAATCAATGGAAAAAAAATATTATGAGGTGAGGATTTAAAAAAAAGAAATTTAAAAGAACAGAAATCACGCAGTGTCTGTTCTCTGTAATGTTGCTACTGTTATGAACCGTAATGTAAATATCTGATATGCATATGCAGCAGTGGTAAATATGCATATCAGATATTTACATTACGGTTCATAACAGTAGCAACATTACAGTTATGAAGTAGCAATGAAAATAATTTTATGGTTGGATCACAACATGAGGAACTGTATTTAAAGGGGCAGAAGGTTGAGAACCCCTGGTCTAAATAAACTTTTACTTGTATTTGGCAGGGGAGGATGTTATTTAATCTCCAACTATTTGGGGGCTTTCCAGTTCTCTGTTATTGATTTCTATTTGATTCCATTTTGGTCTGAGAACAGACATTGCGTGATTTCTGTTCTTTTAAATTTCTTTTTTTTTTTAAATCCTCACCTCATAATATTAGTATAGCTACTTCTGCTTTCTTTTTTCTTTTCTTTTTTTTCTTTTAGTGCTTAAAGTATTACAAAGGGTATTACATATGTGTCCTTTTTTTCCCCCTGCCCTTGACAATCTCCTGGCCTCCCCTACCCCCCAGTGTCTTATGTCCATTGGCTATGCTTATATGCATGCATACAAGTCCTTCGGTTGATCTCTTACCCGCCTCCTTCCTGCCCCCCAACCCTCCCCAGCCTTCCCGCTGCAGTTTGACAATCTGAATGAAGAACTTTTAAGTTGGAGACTGAGGCCTGAATAACAGGATCACATGTGTCTGTGGCTCAGCTGTAAGAGAAGGCCTCATACTGAGCCAGTAGGCCCCTAGCACTGATGTGCTTGCTTTTTGGCTAACATCTGATCTGTTGTTCAATTGTCCATTCTAATGGGATGGACGTTCCAGAACCATATAGTGAATATTTCCAGTAACATCAATATTTCCAAAAACTACACCATGTAGGACCTTGTGGGCCATAGCAAGGAGCTTGAATTTATTCTAAATTTGGTGGGGAAACCAATGGAAATTTCTAAGCAGTTGAGTAAAGTGGACTGTTATACTTAAAAAAGATAGCATGAGCTACTATTTTGGAATTGCACTGGGGTGGGTGACAGTGTCTGCAGTAGTGCAAATAGCTGAAAGTGTTTGAGTTGTGGCAGAGGATATGGGGAAAAGGGGGC